AGTATTGCCGGTAGAAAGAGGGCGTATGGGGTGGTCACGGCGGGCAGCGTGGCCGTTGCGTCCTCTTGGGCTCCCGGCGCTTGGTCACCTTCGATGGGTTGAATTTCACCCTCGGCGGCTCTTGCCGGTACGTCCTGGCCAAGGTCTGCCAAGGAGATGGCCGCGAGTTGGAGGTGACGTTGGAAAATGACGGAGGCGTCACCGTGGCGGTCGGGGGCTCCCAGATCACCATGTGGAACGGGAGCACGTGGAGCGTTGACGTGAGTGTTTCTCTTCTTGGTGGGCAACCATCGGCTCAACCTCTTTGAGCTGTAGCCCCATCCCAATTGGTCGCCCATGGATGGATCCCATTGACCTCGTGCGCCAGGATGCTGCTTGTCCCTCTTTAGCGGCCCTAAAAAGCTCCCGAAGATCCTTCTTCTCTTCTAAAAAGCTTCCCAGGATCCTCCTCCTCCTCTTCTCTCCCCCAAAAAGCGCTCGGAGATCCTTCTTCTTCCCAAAAAAGATGTCCGAGATCCTTCTTCTCCTCTTCATCTCTTCTAGAAACCTCTTCAGGATCCTTGTTCTTCTCTTCTTTCCCCCAAAAGCTCTCCAAGATCCTTCTGCTCCTCTTCCTCTCCCCAAAACGGCTCTCCTGGCCTTCATCCCCCTTTCTCCACCACCTTCTGCCATGATTTCTCCTTTCCCTCTTCCTCAGTTTCTCTGCTGGGGAACGAATCCTGCCCCATCACCCTACCAAAAGGGGGTTTATCCACTGGGAAAAAAAAAAAAAAATGCCGGAGAAAGCCGCAGGGTGGGATCCGGGAGCTCCGGAGGGACACGCGTGGGGTTGGCGCACCTCCTCCGTCGCCGCGGGCGCACCCAAGGGTGGTGGGGCAGGGTGGGAGGACATCTCACCCCCTCCATCTCCTTCCTCCCTTGCCCGCAGGTGGACGGGGAGATGCGGGCCCTGCCGCTCTCGGTGGACGATGGGAAGACCTGGGTGACCCAAGAAGGGAACAACATCGTCCTTCAAACGGCCCCGGGCCACCGGCTCCCCCCCCCCCCCCCCCATCTTGGTCACCGTCCCCAGCACCTACGCGGGGCAGATGTGCGGCCTCTGCGGTGACTTTGACGGCAACGGCGACAACGATTTGACGGGACCCAACGGCAACCAAGTCAACGGGACCCAGGAGTTGGTGGTGGCCTGGAAGTTGCCGGATGAATCCGTACCTTGCTCGGACATCTGTGAAAGGTGTCCTCTCCACCCACCGGATGCCACCGGGCCCTACCACGCAGAGAACTCGTGTGGCATGATGGTGGTGACACCAGGGCCCTTCAGCGGCTGCCACGGGCAGGTTGGCCCTGAGGACTTCTTCGAGCACTGCCTCCAGGAGATGGTCCTCAGCGCCGGGGCCACGGCCACCCTGTGCCGCAGTCTGCAAGCCTACGGCACGGCCTGCCAGGAGGCCGGAGCGCCGGTGGAGGGCTGGAGGACGGCGAGCTTCTGCCGTGAGTATCCTCACCGGGCGGGAAAGGTGGGGGAGGTGGGATTGCAAAGACGGGATGGGATTGCGGGCATGGGATGGGGATGGGATAGCAACCATGGGATGGGATTGCGACCATGGGATCGGGATGGGATTGCAATCAGGGAATGGGATTGCGGGCATGGGATCGGGATGGGATTGCAACCATGGGATGGGGATGGGATTGCAAAAATGGGATGGGGATGGGATTGCAACCAGGGGATGGGATTGCAACCAGGGAATGGGATTGCCACCATGGGATTGGGATGGGATTGCAACCCTGGGATGGAGACACCATCGTTCCAGGCTTCAATCCCAATCTGGGGATGGCACCAGCACCCAAGGGTCCCCTTCTCTCCTCCCCCCCGGCGAGCACAGCCTCTACGCCCTCTGCGCCCGCTCCTGCGAGGGCAGCTGCGCCCGCCTGGCCCACCCCCTGCCCTGCGCCGGCCCCTGCTTCGAGGGCTGCCGCTGCGCCGAGGGCTTCTTCACCGACGGCCACCGGTGCCTGCTCCCCAGCACCTGCGGTTGCTTCCAGGAGGGACGGTACCTCCCGGTGAGCCCCCCCCCTCCCCGGTGACGGGGTGCGGAAATCTGGGGGTGGCGTTGGAGGGGTGGGGGTGATGGCGTCAGGGGTTCTCCTGGGTTTCGTAGGTGTTGGAGGACGTCTTCGTGGGTAACTGCAGCCGGCGTTGTACCTGCTACCTGCACAGCACCCTGGTCTGCGAGGGCGCTCGCTGCCCGCCGGGGACGGGGTGCGGGGTGCGGGGTGGCCGGCGGCTCTGGCTGGCCCGGGGGGGGCCC